TTATTTTTGCACGATCAAGCTTTTTTAGTTCACTTACCATGTTTGTTTCTACGACAGTAGGATGTGCTTACTGGTTGCTAAGGCTAACAAAACGGTAAGTAATTCACTTACCGTTCTAGAACAGTAAGTGAATAACTGTCAAAATAGACATTTTCAACATCGCATTGATTTGGAATGAGTTTTCTAGAATTCAGTTTTAAATGTGGGTAATTGATATAAAATAAAGATGTATTTTAAATCTATTTATTAATGTTGAAATTAAATGTACAGTTTGTACAATTGCTTACAGAAATTGGAGCAGTACATGTTTTTTCAATTTCTATTCTATTCTAGAACTGTCAATTTCGTCAATTAAGAAAGCCGTGACAACAATAAACATCAGTAGATTTCAAAAAACCTGCTTCGCAAATTTATTCAGAAACGTCATTTTTGACGTTACATAAAAAATTAAATACGTATATATAATTTCGTTTTCATTTATTGCGATCGTGCAAAAAATAGTATAAGCATCACGAACGTTAAGAGTTATACCGTTCTCAGACAAAATTGGAGGCTTCGCTTCGCTCAGCCTCCAAACACTGTCTTCGAACGGTAAATTACCCTTACCGTTCTTAATGCTTAATATACATACTATTTCTGATACAACTATTTTATATGCACTTTTACTGTTTTACCTATATACTCTGTATTTTTGTTGTATTACCTGTTTATATTTATATATATTTTTTCTTCTTCTCACTATCCTGTAATTAGGACTTGTTCCTGTTGGATAGTATAGTCTAAATAAATAAATAAATAAATAAATAAATATTTAAAATTATTGGGTAAAACTGCTTGTACACACTGAATATGATAAGGGTACAAAAGATCATTTTTAGGAATCCTCTAAACTGTTAAGAGTTTAATATTAATCGTCTTAAGTGCTTGTTGTAGGGCTGTCTTCGATTTTGTTAAACATGTATTCTTCAATTTGAGGAGTAAAACTCTTTGAAAGTGCCCAGTTTTAGCAGTACATTTTTTAAAATTCCCGGTTTCAGTAAGACGTAGATGTAATATCGTATGGTGCGGGATCTGGGTAACGTTCTTCATAAAAACGCCTGGCTGCTAATGCGTTAGCAAGCCTATATACGAATTGCATGTGGCATATTTCATTATTTGTGTGCTTTACCAGCAGAGACGTATAGGAAATGGCGTCTAGGACATACATCAAAGTTGCGCCCCTCAGTAAATTATCTAAATATAAAATAAACAGATACAACTAACAGTCATAAATTATAAAATATTTTTATTTTCTGTTCTAGAACGAAAATTAGTCAGTAAAAGCGTTCAATCATGCGTGGATTATTTGAATATGAATTATATTGTTGGTTTATTTTGATTTTTAAGTTTAATAATTTATGAATTTTGCGCCTCCCTTTGAATGTCGACCAGGGCACGTGCCCTGCTTGCCCCACATTAGGTACACCAATGTTTACCATTTTAAAGATCGTACGTAGAAACACATGTTGTATTAAATGATTTGAGAGATGTACAATAACAACTGTTGACATAAATGTATTGTTTTCGCAAATGTTTGCTGAAAAATCATTTAGAAATAGAAAAATATGCGATAAAATGAGATAAATAAAATAGTGAAATATAGTCTAAATAAGTAGTCTAAAATAAAATTAAATGTGTACAGTGGTTATTTTTAATATCAAGCCAAGGTAATAAACAATAATGCAAATTTATAACTTCGTAAAAAGATGCAATGAAAAACTATTTTACTTTATTCGAGAAAAATAACAAAAATTAACAAAGTTAGACTGAACGATCTAGTGAATATTTTAGAACTTGCCCAAAAATGAGAGAAAGCTTAATGAATTTTTTTCTTTAAAAAAAGTTACTACTTCAATGTTTTGAGCTCCGTCTGAGTATAATAACATTAATAACTCTTTTAATTCAGTTAGGTATCCAACAGGGGATTTGGAACAATATAACATATTTACTTGTTCAGTCCAGAAATGTATTATAACGTCCAAAATTGAAATATTGCTATTTTTTTAATTTTGATGACATTTAAATTTTTTATCAATTATTTATTATACAAGTATTTTTTTAACATATTTTGTAGACAGATTTTCTATTTTTTTTTGTTAATAAAAATCAAAATGATTTTTTATACACATCATTAATAGGTGTACAGGTCATTAACTTATATAAGGAACAAATAATGAAGCAGCCGAAAAGTATTTTTTGTTGTTAGTTTACCAATTAATACAAATTAATACAAATGACAAACACATCCTGTTTGTAAATAAACGTCCACTTTATATATAAGCGAATCAAATATTTTACAACTAATCGAGAAAAATAATAAAAATTGATATAATAAAGTTATATGTATATTGTGTATACTATAAACAAAAACATAGTAAAGAAATGAGAAAAAATTTTCAAGAATTTTTTTATTAAAAATGCTACGTCGCCGTCTTTCGTTCTATGAACATAGCAAAATTAATTTTTTAATTAATTTTTGTGCCTAAAAGTAAGGAACATGAGATTTACTTCTTCAGTCCAAAATGTTCGCCAGATTTTTGGTGTCATAAATGAAATTTCTTCAAGGGGGCGTTTATAGGCGCAATTTTTTGTCCAGCATTTTAGAAATTCTAAGCAAGTTAGAGACAATATTTGTTTTTCAGGGAAAAAACAAAATTTTTTTCGGGGGTATAAGACAACTGAAAATACATTCAAAATAAGAAAAAAAGCATATTTTACTTCGTATGTTTATTTTACTTTTCCTGAATTGTCTGATGAACATACATAAGATCGCGTACAGTAGGTACTATAAACATAATCACACCACGCAGAATGCTTTTAGGAAACTATTAACGCATGCATTAATCACAATTATTGAGTATATTTACAAACTTGCTGGATAAAATAGGAAAGGTACATTTTCTGATGTTTAGATATTCTTCGTGATATTTCAATGCGAAAAATTAAAGGAAGTTGCTCTAGTTTAACCTTATGCTTCGTCACTTCCTGATAGGCCTACTTGTTCTACCACTGTCTTACTAAAAGTTCGATATCTTGCCAGTCTTAAAAAAGAAATTCAAAAAATAAAATTTTAAATAATTTTCTGTACCAATATTTTCGTTACATTTTTTCGATAATTAATAATAAGAAAAACAGTAAAGTTTATTTTTTTTTCGTTATATTTTTCAATAAAGCAATTTCAGGTGTGCAAACGAGTAACAGATGTAAAATAAACAAGTAAAATTTAAATAAGTGTCTCATGACACCAAATCCTAGCTTGCTACGATTTTTTTTATTTTTTTGCTGGTAACAATATTTTAAAACTTGTCAACAATTTTTTATCGGAAATATAATAACACGTTATTTTAGTGCTTGTATAGTCCTTATCCTAAAAGCATTCTGCGTGGTGTGATTATGCTTTACTGCGATTTTTCGTTATTATTAAATATTGTAAGTATAAGAAAAAATATAAAATTGTAAAGTCCAAAATGTCCTCTTTTCGCATTAATTTACAAAAATTAAATGAATAATAAATAAAATAATTAGAGCAGATCAAAATATTTGTTTTTACATAAATTGGTATTTTGAGGAATTTAGAATAATCTCCGGTTATTAGATTTTAACACTTAAAAAATTGCGACAAGCGATTTTCAATTTTGTGGAAATTATAGTTTTCAATATGAGTCTTCTTATGGTATATCTAATAAATAAAAATATGTGAACGTTATTTTATTATTATATTAACAGCCAGTAAACATATTGTCCCCATTATAAAAAAGGGGCGTATCTCAAAAAAATATAAAAATGAGATTCATACCAATATAGGTATGACCAAACGGTCTGGTCTGTCTTAAAAAAGAAGTAAAATATTTGTTACTATTTAAGATAAGCCAAAAATGTTCATATGGAAAATATTTATAGATCAATTACTTCGTACATTTAACTATGCACTAACAAACTTTTAGTAAAAAAAAATGTTGTGATTTATTGATCTTTTGTTGAGGAATGAAGCCTCCAATTCGATTGTCAGAACAAACAAGACTTAAAGAACTATACTAATATGTACTTTGTTTTGATATGCAGTTTAGACTGGAAACTTTTTATTGTCTACAACTGCGTTTATATAATGAGAATAAACAAAATTTATGTAGTGATTACGAGCTGGCTTGAATTTTGCTAATTCTGAAAAGTTCTAAATCAGTTTTTATGTATTATTAATGTTCAAATAAAAATATTCTGTTAGTTTCTTTGTTCTTTATGTACATTTGTTTGAGAAAAAAACACATGTCTGTTGGACATTTCTTTTACAAAAAAAAAGTATTAAGACAAAGAGGCATATCTCAAATATTTAAAAAAATGGGGAACCGTATTCTAATAAATAATTTTCGAAATAATATGTGGAATTGTTTTTCTAATAACATCAATATTAAGAAGAAATAGGTAGTTTCGTAGCCACAATTTTGTGTTTAGAACAGCTTCTTCCATTCGAAAATGTTGACAAAACTTTAAAATGATGGACCGTAAAATTGTAAAAAAATGAGATACGCCTTTATGTGATAATGGAGTGGAATAAATCCTTGTATATTGAACTGAAAAAAATCTTATTCGGAATAATTATTAAGAATTAAGTTAATATGCGTATATCTAATAAATATTCGCTACAATTTTTTTTTATAAAGTAAAAAAAATATATAAAAATATTCTCCAGGCATTTGCCATAGCAGCGTGTCACAGTAATAAATAGCGACGTGCTCACAAACCAGCACAATTAACACAACAAAAAAATATGTTTAAATAAAATCGAGAGCACTGGCTGGCACACCGAAAATACGAAATACGCCGGGGCTACGTACGCCAGGCCGGGAGTTATAATTAATTCCAGAGGGTATTTTGTATTTTAGAAAGAGGGGGCAGCACGAAATAAATCAATACCGAGGCCGAGCCCCCCTTGTGTGAAACCTAAAGGGCGCAGTAAGTCGTGAGACGCGTTAAGGCCGGGCCATATCGCCGTCCACCCGATTATTCAGTTATAAAATTTCTGTTAAATATACAAATTTGCACAAGGTAAATATAAACAATACGTTTAAATTTAACCGGCGATCGTATGACTGTGCGACGGTGAGCAGACTTCGCGTGTCTGGGCTATTGTCGGCCATACCGCAGGGAGATACAGGGTGTCCCAAGAAGAAGTGCACGACCTTGGAGGAACATTCCTCAGGTAAAAATGAGCAAAAGTATTTATATGAACCTCTGCCAGGATATTCACCGTTTCTGAGATAGGCCGACTTTTTTTTAATATTTCAAGAAGTGTACTTGAACTTGATAAAGTAATACTACACGGGGTGTCCCAATATCGCGTATATCAATTACCACATTTTTATGGATTAAAATAAATCGATTTATCTAAACTTCCGAAACTATCTCAAGTGGTTTCGTTTTGCCATTAGTTAGCAAAAATTATTAGTTTTTCCAGAATAATTCTAAACCGTTTTATCCAATTTAAATAAAATTTAGTATGCTAGCATCCGTGTGTGGTTGTCACTTTTCGCCGTAAACGCACAGAATTACAATTATAGAAATGGGAAAATACCCCCATTTCAGATTAAATTTATTAATATTTTTTTTGCAGACACCTTATAACTTTGTTTATTATTTTGTTATAAAGATGGGGGTTTTCTTCTAGTTTTTCTTTTGAAAATTTTTTCAGTTCCAATCAGTTTTCCCATAAATTAATTATTTGATTTATTTAATAATAATAATAATAATAATAATAATAATTAAATAATGCTTTATGGAGTTGAAAACTTTGTAACCACTGTAACCGAATCTGCGTTTATGGAAATTATTGTAAATAGTTCCCAGTGACATAGAGGGTGTCCCAAAAAAACTTGAATCTCCTGATAGCTTTTCAAGATTGCATTCTATCAAAAAAGTTTCAGATAAAAGTTGTAGGATTTAATAAACTAATATGATGGTGACCTTGGATTTGAGCTCGATTAAGCTCCGAGGTCAACCCAAGGTCAATTTGAAAATATTAAATGAAATGCCAGCAGTCAATAGACTGTCAAATTGTACGTCCAAACATGGAGTTGTTCTTGTAGCTCATTTTTCTGTAAATAACTTAACAAAGTTTGATTAGTGCAGCAAATTCTCTCAGTTTGTAAGATTTTAAATGCCATATTCAATGGCGACCTTGGATGCGTGCATTTTGTTTGCTAGTACCGTAGATTTAGATATTAGAGGCTTATTTTCGGAGATGTATACAGGGTCAGAAAGTCCCCATGGTTCATCGGCCGTTACGTGAGAGCGATAAAGTCATAGAAATCCGTGCGATAGAGAAAGATGGCTATAATGAAGGCGTCTAATAGTCACCGCCCATTTCGCCCTTCCACAAATAAGATCCAATTCTTATTTTTCTCTATCTGCTCTTAAAATTAATGACATTATGACTGAATCACCCTGTATAAGCGAAAAACTGAAAAAAGAGCAATTATTTTTTTTCTTTTGTTATAAATAGTATGACGCTCGACCTCCACAAATACACAAATTTAGGCTTTTATTCTGTGTATTTTTTACTTAATTTAATCCCATAAAATTTGAGTTAGACCCGATTTTTGGAAAAAACCTAATGCACCCGGAATATTTCTGCATACTTCGTTTACAAACATTTACGATGTAAAATTTTCACATTTTCCTCTGTTCATTTGGGTATTTTGCCACCTATAGAAAAATTTTAAAAATTAATTAATTGCCCCTTGCAAGAATTATTCTTATGAAACTATTTTCTCCCAACAGAAAATCTGTTCTCATTCTCAAAACTAAGATGGATGTTTCTATTTCAAATAGGTTTGACAATTTAAATTCTTTTTATAAGTTATAGATATCATGATATTCTATTATTTTTCACTTCTTTCGTTGTTTAATAACATAATCGCGATTTCTTTTAGTTTACAATTTCTCCAAAATTTTAATCTAGTCCCATTGATGTGAGTGTTGTTCCAAGCATGTCCGCAAATTTTTGATTTATCAAATTCCCGCTTTTATATGTAATCTTTGTGTTCATCTATTCTGATACTTACAGGTCCTGAAGTTTCTCAAATACGAGTATTAAGTAAGTAATGTTTGTTGCATACGCAGGCTATTCTACAAATGCAATTTTTTGAATTTTTACTATTATAATTCAATGGCAATACCTTTAAAATATTCAGATTCAATAAAACCTTAGTGTAAATACCCACATTAGGGCAGGTGACAGATAAATGTTTACCTCGTTCAAAAAATTTTTAAAAAATTACCCATGATCAATTAAAAATAATGATTTACTGCTGGGCTGTCCAGGGGGTCAGACAATGGACCTAATCGGTCGTCTCCCAGGAAATACACTTGTTTTACAAAGAGAAGAAAAATTAAAGAATACCTTTTTTATGTAAAAAATGACGTCGAATCAAAATACCATAAGACAACTGGATAAAATATATCCATTCTCAACGAACATAGCTCATCTTAGGACCTATGTTTGTATGACTTTTTTCGTGTATTTATGTGTAGAATCATTCGTCGAGTTTATGTGTACAGGTTAAGAATCATATTTTTTATGTGCTAAATCTACGTTTAATTATTTACTCTATTGTGAAGGTATTCAAACAAATTCAAAATATGTTTTTTTCTAAATTTTATCAAATGAAGTTAAACAGTGTTCTTCGATACAGGAAATCTAGGTGTGCAAAATATAGCTACCCCTTCTTACAATATTCCTGTTGTAGGAGAATCTGTCTCCCTCTCCTTCTGTACTACTCATATCATATAATCAACCGTCCGCTGGATTTGATCATTTGATGTCTGGCTGTCATCGCTGTTCAGTAGCCCTGGATTAAGGGTACCCCTACAAATTGGCGCCCAACGTTGGGCGCCAATCTGTAGGGGGCATCCTTATTCCAGGGCTAGCTCATCAAGGAAAATACCCCTCCTAAGAGGAAAATAGCACCAAAACACTCTCCGGCGATGCGCGGCTACTGAACAGCAATGACAGACCGACGTCAAAATCCAGCGGACGCTTGATTATAAAGATTCTGCTACACTGCTGATATTGCAGGAAACAACTGATGCCCCAACGAGCTTCGAATTATACTAACAACTATCTATGAAATAGATAGTAATAAATAAATAAATATCCAAAATAAAAGCTAGATATATGATGAGGCAATCCTAAGTAAAATAACAAAAAGATCTCTTTGTAGGAGCTGTATGTTTTACGTATTGGTCTTTGTCAAGGGTGAGACACGTTAGAATAACAAGAATGCAATATTTCTTTGACGGACAGGAGTACATCATTTAACAATTGAACGGTTCTAGCAAAAATAAAATTTGTCTCAAAATTGACTTTTAGAGTTATTGTCAAACTAAAATATATTTTTTTCTCAAAATATATAGTTTTTTTGACAATTATGTCAGAATGTTTCATTACACACGTTTGATTATAAATTGTCCTATAAACCATTTTTTAATTTTTAATATGTTTCAAGAAAATCAGTTTTAACGCTCTTCTCTAAATTTATTTTTTTTGACATCTGTTCTTGCTAGAAACCCTTCAATTCTAAATGTACGTATTATCATATCAGATATCTCAGAAAATTGTGCCGAACTGCGGTTTATATAAACCTTTCAGCTTATTTTTACTCGAGGAATGTTCCCTTGGTGTTTGTGCACTTCCTTGAGGGGGGCACCCTGTACAAGTACATATATATTTAATTAAATTAATTTTAGATGAAGCTGAACAAGTGCGTTCGGCTTCTAACGGAGAAGCACCTTGAAAATATGGGATCTATGTTCAAAACATTGTATAACGACGAGTTGCTCACGGACTGTACCCTTCACTGTAAGAACGGTTCCATAAGGGCCCATAAGGTGATATTGGCCGCTAGTAGTCCCTACTTCCGCAAGGTTTTTCTTGAACACAAGGACGAGCGCGCTATTTTTATTATGCACGGCATATCGTTGGAGCAACTTAGAGATTTGTTGGAATTGATATACAAAGGCGCTATCGACGTGCCCAGTGAAACTTTAAATACTGTGTACGAGTTAGCTGAAGAATTGGAGCTGACGGGTGTGCTTCTCGAGGAGGGTTCTTCGGACACGGTGAGTATTCCTGTGGCCTTCGTTTGGGTGAACAGGGTTGGCTTGGGCCTAGCGATTGTTGAAATGTTTTTATAACACAACATTTCAACAATCGCTAGNAAAACGGAATTTGCTGTCCAATTTGTTAAAAAGTCAAAGATGAAAAAGTTACACACGCAAAGTACCAAGGGCCCCCCCGTACCCACCCCAATGGACCTTGTGGAAATAAATGGATTAGTCCATCAATTTGCTCATCAAAATTTAGCTGTGTATACCAAATTTCATTCATTTATCACAACGCGATTTAGAGATATTACAAAAAATGATTTCCATTCCTCCCTCTTCAATGGGTCCCTGTGCCCTTAGGAAGCATTTCCAGACCCATGTTCATATGAACTTTTTTACTTAGTTTTGATCATAGAATTGGCCTGTTCAGGGTTGGCAGCTAATTATGAGACACCCTGTATATATTTTTCATTTGAATTTTCCGAAATTGTGTCTTAAACAATGCTGATTATTCATTATTTATAGATCTGACAGTTACATAAAATAAATACAGTTGTTCGTAGCGTTGTGTGAAATGTCCAGGTTAGAATTTTGGAAATTTTTTGTTTTTTGAAAACTAGGTTGGACCGCACCAAAATTGTATTGCAAAATTTAAACAACTAAAGAAATTTGTAAAGATATAACACTCTTGAGGTTAATAATCGCTGAAATCACGCCGTTATTTGAGAAGAAAGCAATATTGATCTAAATCGATTTTGTTCAATTCAAGGAACCGACACCCTGTAAAAAAAACCGAAGCTGGTTAACTTTTGCACAGTCAATAATTCTGTCCTCTCAAAAACGGTGCATTTTCAGTAATTTCAACAAGAGTACCGTTTTTAAGTAAAATGAAATTTTACTTAGCAAATTTCAATGCATTATGCATTTGGAAAATACACTACAAAAATTTGATTTTGGTACATAGGCAAAAGTCTTCTTATTTTTTTGGTGTTCTATCAGTCTCTGAATTTGTGGTATTTTTTCCAAAAACACCCTTTATAAAGGGTCTTTCCGGAAAAATATCTAAAATAATAATAACGATCCATTTCATATAATTTTTGGTAACGATTAAAAATAAAGATATACTTACCTACTACCAAAATTAAAAGACAAGACAACTAGGGAGTAATATTATTCACAATATATCTTGCTCAGATTATAATGGGGTTTATAATGGCCAAACCAGTAGATATTTAAAAAAGCTTATGTTTGAAATGTACCTATAATATTTAAAAAAGAGTAGCAAATATTCGCAAAGTATCAGAAGATAACAGATTATTAAATTAACAAAAAAAACAGCTCTAGCACAGTATGCTTGGAAATTTTTACATAATTTCAATTTTGAAACTTCCAGTGGCTCTTGACTTCCATACCAGGGAGGGCGGAAAAATTTAGGTACAAAGTATGGAAAAAAAAATACATATAATTGGGTAGTTTTTAGTACTATTGGAATATAGGGAAAACGTTCTATTTTATAGTGAAAGTCCATTATTCTGCTTTTGTCCAAAACAATCCTAAAAATATCGAATTTTCACCACCAAGAACGGCGGTGACAACATTTTTAACATCAAAGTGATGTTTCACATTGTATTAGTTATGGCCTGTCCAAATTTGGTTAGTGCAACTCTCTCGGTTTCGAAAATACAATACCTATGTATGTTTTCAGCCACAAAAATTGAATAATTCCAAATATTTTGAATATTCACCACCAAGAACGGCGGTGATTTCAGCCACGAAAATTAAATAATTCCAAAAATTTCGATTTTTCACCACCAAGAACGGCGGTGACAACATTTTTAATATCATGGTGATGATTCGCATTATATTAGATTAGTACAACTCTCTCGGCTTCGAGAATACAATACTTATGTATGTTTGCAGCCACGAATATTCAATAATTCCAAATATTTCGAATTTTCACCACCAAGAACGGCGGTGACAACATTTTTAATATCAATGATGTTTCGCATTGTATTAGCTATGTCCTGTCCGAATTTGGTTAGTACAACTCTCTCGGTTTCGAGATACTTATATATGTTTTCAGCCATGAAAATTCAATAATTCCAAATATTTAGAATTTCCACCACTAAGAACGGCGGACACAACATTTTTAATATTAAGCCGATGTTTCGCATTGTATTAGCTATGTCCTGGAAAAACTCGGATTTTTTTTTTTATTAGAGGCCTCCATAGAGCTTGCAGTAGCCTTGGGCCCACCCCAATCATAGCTACGCCCATGACAATACGTAGGTAACAAAATTTTACACCACGCGTAAACAAATTACGTTTAATAAGAAAAAAAGAGGAGAATAGCTATTATTTGGTCACGGGCGGACTATAAACAGAGGCCAAATTGCATAGTAAATATGTGCTATTCCCACTCCTCTTTCAATGCTGCGCGACGGTAACCATGACCAGTGTTGTAACACTTTACAGCTTTAAAGCCGGCCGCACATCGAGATGCAGGTGACGCAGGCAACGCAGGGCAGGGTAGCACAGAACTGCGTTTAAGTAAACCTGCATAGCGCAGTCTTCCGGACACAGTTTCCTGCGCCACCTGCTTAGTAGTTTTGGTGTTTGAAAAAATAGGCTCAGAAAATTCGGACGATAGTGCAAATTCCCCATGAGTATTTCTCCTTTTGATATAGTTGCTTTTCCAAAATGACTTTCCTCTTTGAAATGTTATATAATGTCTTCAAATTCTGCGTCAGAATCTGACTCGGAACTGTCCAGAAACAACGCTATAATCAAAATTTAAAAACAAAACCTTTTAATGCCCAAATATATTGTTATCGCATTCGCATATAAGCAAGAACTGCCAAGACTGTGTTTCAAGTAGCGCTCACACAGCGGGACATGTTTTTTTCCTGAACCGTGTAACCTGCCCTGCCCTGCATCGCCGGCATCTCAATGTGCGGCCGGCTTAAGGGCGGGCTACGAGGAGCCCACGTATACAGCGTTTTTCAAATGGAATTTGCAAGAGTTAAATTGAGTGTACATTTAAAATATAATTTAACATTTCCATTTTAATGTGTATCATAAGGTTAATCTATTTAATTATCTAGATAACATTTTGAACTAAATTTTAAATTAAATTTTTCCCTCCGCAACAGCCACCACTGATAAATTCCCTCTCGATTACAGCAGTTCTCAATATGTTGGCACTTTGTTAAGGAGAGAGTAAGGTCGGCTCGTATTATCTATTCGTTCTTTTTTACTTTTTTGGCTTAGTAAGATAAAGTTATCATTAAAAAAATAAATTTTTCAATTAATTAAATTTTAACGTTTACAAATAATCGTAGAAATATATTTTCCTTTTGACTTGCACTATCATACCTTGAGATTTAATACACTATTTGCTTTAACATCCCACGATTACTTACTTCTTTTTATGGTTTTAAATTAAATATGATTTTCACATTTGTCATGTTTCTATTCATCCCTAATTTTACTTTTTGTGGTTTATTCTTGCCTTGAAAAAATCACTGCTGCCTTTTTCATCACTGACCTTAATGAAAATTTTAAAAAGTAAAATTGAATGAATATATGGTATAACAACTTTAATAACAAAGAAATATCTTCGTACTGTAATTCTGGCCATTATACTTCGACCATTTTAAAGAATTTGGAAATCTGTCATGGAAAAATACTGAACATACGTATAAAATTATGTATACTTAATAATCACTTTGTTAACCTATGGGAAGATCATAGTAGTTGATTTTAATAAATATTAATAAGTGTACAGACCAAACTAGATCACCATTATGCATGTGAAGAGTAGAAAATAACAATGGAAAATAACCATTTAATAATTTAACAAGCATGTGAATCAATTTAGTAATATGGAATCAGAAAAATATTTATAATGTGCTCTGTTACAAAACATAAATACCATTGTATTAAATTATTATTATAGCTTCCTTGAAAAATAGTATTATTTTTTTATTGAAATTTATACCTATCAAAACTTAGTCAAATAATGTATTGAATACAAATTTGTGAATGTTATAACAAAAAGGTATTTACATATATTTTAAATAGATGTGATAGAATATTTGAATTTTTAGAAGTGCAATGGGTATGGAAGAGATACAAGGTATAGGGGTCAAAAAAGAGTTGCTGTGGATTTTACATCAGAAGATAATGAAGTTGTACCTGAAAAAATCGTGAAAAATTCCGCCGAAAGGAGAGTTAGCTCCTGTTCTGAAAAAGGAATTTCTAGCATTAAAAAATGTGGTAAATATTAGTAGCTGACTGTTGAATATTGACGATTGTGAATGAAAATAATAGATTTTGATTTTTTATGAAACATATTATTTGAAATGCAAACAATAAAAAGATTTTTAATTCGTTTTTAGAAACTAGCGAAACAGTAAATAATGAAACGCCGACAGAACTAGAAGATACAAACAATGTCGTTTCAAGAACTGAGGTGACAAGTAAGGAAAGATTAATGGGACACCCTGTAGATGAGCAAAGCAACTTAAGTGTTTGGGCGAGGAAGGAAAGAAAATTTAAATGTGATTTATGTCCGAGCAGGTAAATAATGTTTGGTAGAAATTTATAAGACATCTGTTTTAATAATTATTACAGAAATATTACTCTTATTACAAAACCTTACACGCGATCTGTCGATATTAATAATTAGTTATAATAACTGTCTGAAATACATTTTTGATGCTTACTGATATAAAAAAAATGTTTCTTAAAATCAATATAAACTTTCTGGAATATAATTGACAAATATGTACCATAATTTAATTAAAAAAATTGAATCTAAAATGGAATAATTGACTATAATAAGATTCCTAAAACGGAATAATTCTCAAGTTAAAATTACTGAGGTCAGTTGACATGACACATTTCGAAATTAAACTGACCGTTATTGAAATACGCATGCCAAAAAGGTATATAAAAACTTCTAGATTCTTTCAAGATTCTTTTAGAGTTTTTCATGATACTAATTTATTTTAATGTAATTCAATTGAATTTATTAATTACGTATAAATATTTTTTATTTTTAGTTTTAAGAGGGCATCACATTTAACAAGACATCAGTTGGTTCACACTGGAGAAAGACCATTTGCTTGCACTCAATGTGACAAAGCTTTTTCAAGGCATGATAAATTGAAACATCATATCCATAAAGCTCATGAGTTACCAGCATTAAATGAAGCCTTGCCTGCAGATTCTCTTTACGTAAGTACCCCCTTTGGTCATGGATACCTTATTGTTGAAAATTTTTGCATGAAAAATAGCAAACTTTAAACACTGAACTAACAAGTTACAAATACTTACTTAGTCATGTCATGCATATCAAAATTTTCAATCAAATGACTTTGGTCTAGTAAGTTTTACAGATCTAGTTATATCCTAAAATTTGCCTATGATATTTCATGCAACAATAATATGTATTGAAACCATCCACAACAAAACAATAAAATGTGACACTGAATACTATTTGGTTTTGAATTTAAAATATAATTTCCAAATTTTAGTTAGGATTGCACAAACCGAGGGGGTGGGAAGTGGGGGCTCAGGCCAAATTTTGTTCTTACCTTTTTATAATTTTGCAGTATACGAAGTAAAATTTAATTAAAAATAAAGTTGCAAAAATGTATTTTCTAAATTGTAAACCATTTAAATTGTTTGGTAAGATATGAAAAACAGAAGTGGCGATTATTTACAAATTTTGTTTGAAAATTTATTAGAATCATTATAATGGCACCAAGGAAAATAAAAAAGTACAATAAGGCCAATTATTTACTTAAGAACTTACTATTTATAAATTACATTTTTATAGTAAGTAACAATTATTTTTTTTACAATTAGCAAGTAACAATTATTTTTTTAACAATTAGCTTTGAAAGTTTCTATAACTTATTGCCAAATAAAGTGAGTGCCAATTGTTTAGAATTAATATTAGGTAAATAAAATACCTATAGTATATTAGAAGGTTATGTAACAGATTCCTTAATAAATACTTAAAATTCCTAAATGCATGGAGTATTTGCATAAAATAAACATTAAAACTACATCTGCGACTCTATTTCCATTTTAACTAGTTATTTCTGTGTTAACGCGATGTAGCCGAATAGACGTAGTTTATTAACCATTTTTTTCATCTTGGTTTATGTTTGTTAAAATTATAATTGTTCTGCTAAGTACCTATAACAAATATTCTGTATTTAATCAAAAATAGTTACCTACATTTTGTTTTTTATTACCTACTTTATCACAAACATTTTGATATAATATCAGTAGATTCTTAGTTATATTATTAACAATTTCATAAAAGGAAAAGATTTATAGACAGACGTTGCACTGTTCAAATACGTAGCAGAAAAATGTATTTCATTTACTTTATTCAGGCCAGTAAAATTTGTAAAGCTGGGCCTGTATATATTTAGATGTAGCGATTATTATTCTAAATTCCACTTATAATAAGTATACATATAAATCTGCATTTTCTTGAACTATAAAAAATTGCTTTCAGGTGTAGTATTCAAAATAAATTTCTAAATTTAATTACAGGGCAGTTTAGATTTAAGTCGAACCTGAGAGTATGTGAATAAGATTTTTCAAATTTCCTCTTCGAGATACACAGGGTGATGATTAAAAAATCTACTATTTTCTATACTTTCCCAACTAACAAAAAACTGTCGAAACCAGGAAATATGACATATTGCACCAAGCCTGCTTTATACTTTAATGTAAAATAAAAAAATCGATTTTGCTATATTCGTAGACAATATCAAAATATATCAAGAGATATTTTCAATTAAAATGAGAAAAATCATGGATAAATGTGAACAAAGAATAATGCGTACTTGGTACAGGACATAAAATTTTTTTTTTATTAAATTAATTAAAGCGATTGTCCATATTTCTGTCACTGGTTGATTAGGAAACTTGATATTAACTCAATTTGTCCAAATATCATTTGTACCAAATTTAATTGAAGGTTTTGAAGTAATTAAAAATGAAATTCTGATAACAATTTTTTCAATTTTTATGAGTGAGAACACTTAGAGCCTATATTTCCGTACTTCCATTCTGTATTAATAGTACCCTGACTTCGTACCCTGATTTTATTCAATTTAAAAATCCCAGGTTGTATGGGAACATTTTTACCCACTTGTCACATCTGAAAAGTTGCCTATGTAGGTTTTTCCTACAATTTCGTATAGACATTTAAGGTACCTGAACCTGTGACAAAAAAAATAAGCATTTGTTTGTTTTGTCACTTTCCAGTACCTTTGAAAAAACTATATATATATATATATCCCACC